GGGTGGGGGCCCCCACTGGGGTGCCACTGGAATGCCTGGCCAGCCTGGGTGAGGGGCTGATGGTTGTTTGCAGCAGGTCACACCCCTTCAGGGTGGGGGTCCCCACTGGGGTGCCTGGCCAGCCCAAGTGAGGGGCTGATGGCTGTTTCAGGCTGGCCACATCACCTTTAGGGTCGGGGGGTCCCCAGTGGGTTGCCTGGCCACCCTGGGTGAGGGGTTGAAGTCCGTTTTCAGGCTGGCCAAGCCTACCTGATGACAGAAGCTCCTAGCCTCTCCATTTTTTCTTTTTTTGGAGCGAGGGGGATTTATTTACCTTCTATAATTGAAACTTTGTAGGCTGGTGTGGAGCTCACAGCTGGCCAGGGCTTCGTTTCCTCCATCGCCAGGGGCAACCCAAGGCTCCAGCTATGTGGCCATGGCTGGCTGAAAGCAGGTATCTGGGGTTTATTTATCTTCTATAATTGAAACTTTGTTGCTTTGAGTGGAGCTCAGAGCCATTGCGGCCAGGAAGCTTGGCTTCCTCTATCATTGGGGCAATCAAGCCTCCTGCTTGTTCCAGCTCCATGGCTGCCGGCCGCCATCTTGGTTGGGTTAGTTTGCATATAGTCGCTCTGATTGGCTGTACAGTCAATTTGCATGTTGGTCTTTTATTATTGTAGATTTATCACGTTACTTTGATCTGATAAACTACTCCCCAATCCCAGGCAGGTGGGACAGTCCTGACTTTTGATGCTGCAAATATATAATTGTGTCTATAGCTTCCTGTGCAAAATCTTCTGTTTGCAGAGACCCAAAACTAGTTACATCAGAAATGATTATGCTTTTAAATGGAGAAAATACAAGACATGAAAATAGTGATCATGTGTGTGTACAGCCCTGAAACATTCATATGTTGAAATGCTCATAGAAGGAGTTTGACCTGTTTTCTCAGTCTAGTGTTATCAGTGATGTTGGGGTTCAGAGAGATGGACATTGAAGAATTCCTAGCATACATTTTCTACAGGAAATGGAACTTCAATTCTGACAGGAAATCCTCACCCCTAACATCATTGTGATTTTACCAAGAACTCCCTGGAAAATGCTGAGACTCCACTGTCCATGTGGATTGGCTACAAGAGACAGAGGGACTGGAGCAGGTTCTGATACTAGAGGAGAGCACTGGTGGGAAACTACCCAAAAATCTGGCTGTGACTATGGAAGTGGGTGAGGGGAGGAAGCTGGACTTGTTTCTAGTCACATGAAAGACATGACTGATATTCATGGACAGAGAATTACTGGACATGTGAGTTTAAAGCCTCCTCCAGTGAAAGCCCAGAAAAATTGCAGGGCATTATAGAGGGACAGCTTGTATCATCATAAGAAATACTTGAATAACTAAGAACAGGAGTTTGTGAGAAGTAGGAACATTAAAGACCATGCAGGCAGGGATCAAGAAAAATAAGGAGCCCTAACCGGTTTGGCTCAGTGGATGGAGAGTTGGCCTGCAGACTGAAAGGTCCTAGGTTCGATTCTGGCCAAGGGCATGTACCATGGTTGCAGGCACATCCCCAGTCAGAGGTATGTAGGAGGCAGCTTATCAATGTTTCTCTCTCATCGATGTTTCTAACTCTCTGTCCCTCTCCCTTCCTCTCTGTAAAAAATCAATAAAATATATTTAAAAAAAATAAGGAGTGTGTCACTGTGAACTGGTGGGAAGGGCATCTGTTGGGATCCAGCCCCAGCAGGCCCAGGGGTTCCCAAAGGTGTGGATGGAGTCAGAGAAGAAGGAATGACACTGAGACAGCTTTCAGTTGATCAGCATAGCCAGGGTCTCTCCTTTTCTCTCCTATATTGTCCTGTTACCATTGTATTTATAAGCATGACATAATGGTTTTGGGTCCTCCCTTGGCCTTCTACAGTTCCTGGTTGCATGTCCATAGTTTCTTATCTGACCTTTGCCAAAAATTCTGTCTCTATCTAGTTCTGTTGATTTTAATCTTATCTAGGTTAATCTCTGTGTTCCATTTTAAGGGCTATTCCAAGGTCACTATTCTACTGCTCTACTGATAAGCTACAAGGACGTGACTGAAGGAGATTATCCTACCCATTAAAGGTTATGTCCTCCAGGCCCCACTACTTGCCTTCCAAGGGACTGCCTTGTGTTGGTGGGTCTCCAGGGGTACAGGCTTTGGTGCTTTCCCTGGTGGGAAGACCCCTGGGGATATGGGCCCAACAAGTCCCAAATTTATTGCCAACAGTATTAGTCCAAGTTCTTCATAAGTAGTACATGGTATTTCCTAACACTAGGGGGTTTTACTGATTCATTCCCTTCCCCAGTCCCATCAATCCCCAACTCCAGGGAAATATCCCTACCTGGAGAAACAACCTTTCTCAGAGAGGTGGCCCTGTTTAAAACACATAGCGCTAAGAGAGGGAGCAAACAGATTAAGAACAGTATGCCAGGTCCCTTGAAACATATGTTGTGCAGATGTTTCTTCCCTGCAGCGACTGTGTCAAGCAGCAAGGATGAAACGGCTTCCTGCAGGGACCCTGTTTCCTACATGCACATTCTCATAGTGTCTCTGTTCTAGAAGGTAACACCTTCCCAGTGTTGGGAATTAGGACTTGGACACTTTGGGGTCATTACTCACATGGCCTCACCATGAATCAACAAAGCTGAATAATTCATTGGGGGCCCATTATAAATCTGTCAACTTTTACAGGGAAGAGTGGACATTCCTCACTGGAGGCTCCATGGTGACGGTTTTTCTGTATGAGGAGCCATCATTCCATTAGACCTGGTCCCTGTTTTGTGTGGAAGCATGGGACTTGTTTGGAAAGTCTGTAAGGAGTAGTCTCCAAAACGTCAGGGGCCTCAAGGAGGACTTTGCCAAAGGCAGCAACCCCTGCCTTGACTTTTCCAAACAAGTCCGAGCCCCCAAGTGTTTTACTGGAATTTATATGTTTAGTCTTTAAGACCACACCTTGTAAATGCATGTGCTTTCTCAAGGATACTTACGCTGCTGATTGTGTCTAGAGGTTAATTTTAGTTCAGGCTGTTATTACAGTACAAGCCTAAGGAGGTAGACAATTGGGGCTGTTTAGGTGCCTTCTGCCAAGCAGCCCCTTAGCCTTTTCTTTCACAGGAA